TAATATTTGCCAAGCGAGTAATATTCAACTCCCCATAAAGATTTAAACCCAACAGCAGATGGGGATTCCCGCCGGAATACCATAGATGCCTCCTACTTCGATCCTTTACACGGTATCCCTTCGACGCGACAAAAAGTGGCAATGTCTGAAGTTGACCTAAGCTTCTAATACAAGAAGGCATATATGTCAAACTTACACATCCACTTAAGTTAAGATGTCTTAATTTGGTCAAGCTTTCCAAAATTGGCAAAGATTCAAGATTATGACAACAAATTAGGTTTAAGGTCTGCAAAGAAAAGAGATATTGCATGTTTTCAGGTAACTTGGAGACAAGTCAAGATACCTCAAACATATCAAGTCACCCAAGGAATTCGGCAAATCAACAAGATCACAGTTGTTCAGATCTAGCACTCGCAAGTATTCAAAACTTGAATAAATTTTATCTCCGTTCTGTAACGAGCCAGAATCTCCGATCAATAAGAGAGTTCGCAAATGTTCTGCTTCATATAGAGTTTCTGGAATTGTAATTCTTGCGCCATATCTATAAACAACAGATGCGTGGCGAATATCTGCTGGTGACCAATTTTGTGGCCGACCCTGTTCAAGTACCACATATTCTTTTCCTGCAACATATCGTGCAAGATCATGAATGATATCATTCATCTTGTATCCAATTATTTCTCCACCGTCATGTAGCCGCACTTCTTGCAAGAAAGATATCTGTGGGAACCTAATTAGTTCACAAACCTAGGTCAAATAATTCCTTCCATTTGGGGATTATTTGACCTAATCAGGAATTATTCAATTTAATTGGGGGTTACTCAATTAAATAGAATGATTCCTAATTAGGTTGAGGATTGATTTAAATTCCTACGAATATTCTCAATTAATGGAGGAGTTACCTAATTAAATTAGGTATTGATCTGATTGCTATCCTGATTAGGGATTTGATTTAAATCAATAAATCAAATCCCTAATTAAGTAAAATCTCGCCAAATTGGGGAGGAATAATTCCCTTCCATCTACGGAATTATTCCTCTGAAACCCTAGCTCCCGAGACTCCTATAAATACCTAGCTACACACAAAGGTTGGGGTACGTCTAAACTCCTACTGAAACTCTGCAGAAATTATCTCTCAGAAACCCTAGCCACCTCCTTTCTCTCCCTCTTTTACATAAGGCTCCGGCC